CATAGTCACTATATTTTTCTTTACATAGTTTTCTTATTTTTATGATCAGATTTCAGTTTAATTTCTAAGTAGACATTTCTAATTTAATTGTATCACAAACTATTTTGTATTTTTCTGTAATTGCTGTGTAAAATTTAAACATTTTTTGTCCTTTGGGTTTTTTTTTGTTTGTTTATTTTTAAGACAGTGTGCTGCTGTGTAGCCAGATTGGCCTCAAACTCACCATTTTCAGGCTTCAACACCTCCTAAATGCTTAGATTGTAGGTGTATGCCACCATGCCTGGCTTAAATCTTATTTTTACAGAAACTGTTACTATGAACTATGGCACTTCAATATAGTACAATATAATTGCTAAAGGAAATGATCAAGAGAAGAAGAAGAAGAATGAGGGAACAGAGAAAGGGAAGGAGAACAAAAAGGCAAGAAAAACTTAGGGAGTAGGGTCCTGGCAAGTCTGGTATCATGACATCAGTAGTTGCTAGGTGTTGCTGGCAGTGCCACATGTGTTCATCTAGCACTGAGCTAGCTCTGGAAGGTCCAGATCCAAGTGACATAGTTCCTGCCCTTTGCATATTCCTTCAGAGAAGTCAATCATTAAGTCTTTTGGATGATCAGTGTTGGGACAAGTACATAGTACTAGGAATTGTGTCTGCTGGACTCCCAACCTGTTTGTTCTCAAGAAGTCTGAAGTCAAACCACTCTTAAAGGGTTTGTTTTGTTCTTAGTTCTTTTCAAAAGCAGATAAACTACCCTCAATATGATAAAGGACTGTGTTCTTATAGTCTTGTTTAAAAGTAAAACTGAGGCTGGGAATGTGGTTTAGTGGTAGAGTACTTACTTTGCATGCATGAGGCTCTGGATTCAATTCCTCCATATCACATAAACAGAAAAAGCCAGAAGTGATGCTGTGGCTCAAGTGGTAGAGTACTAGTCTTGAGCAAAAGAAACTCAGGGATAGTACCCAGGACTTGAGTTCAAGCCCCAGGACTGGCAAAAAAAAAATTTTAAGTAATAATAAAAGGAAAGTTAAAAAAACAAAAAGTAAAAGTGAAGCTCCATTAGAAAGGACTAATATGAATACACTTCCTTACTGTTCTAAACGTTGAGTAAAAAGTAACAGATAATACTTCAGGATAGTTTTAATGGAAATAGTGTCTGTCATCTCATTAGATACTTAAGCAAAGATTAGCAGAAGCATTATAAAAATAACTTGTGATTGGAAAGTTGGATCCACATGACTTACATGTTATAAAACTTGTACTTTGTAGTTCATTCTTACCAGATTTGAGAAAACAGTTTAATTACTATCAACTATCTATGTAATTGATAAATTGTATAGGTTATTTTATTGATTTTTAAATGGTTTAACTCTAGATTTTTTTATTTACACCTAAAATTTGTGGATTATTCTACAAGAAAGGCTAGACCAGTTCTAAGATTTTGGGCTGATAACCATCATTATAAACCTCCTCATATATTAGCTAAAGAAAAATGAGAGTTCTAGAGGGGGTGAGATTGATTAAAATATTGAGTAAACATGGGAAGAAGTAACAATGAAATCTTCTTGTATTACTAATATAAGCCAATTTAAAAAGGGGGCGGGCAGGCATTAGTGGCTCATACATGTTATCCTAGCTACTCAGGAGATAGAGATCTGAGGATCACAGTTCAAAGCCAGCCCAGGCAGAAAGGTCCATTAAGACTGTTATTTCCAATTAACCACTACTGTGGCTCAAGTGGTGGAGCACTAGCTTGAGCTTAGGGACAATGCCTATGCCCTGAGTTCAAGCCCCAAGACTAGCACACACAAACAAAAAAAGAAAAAGATGAAAGTTCTTTAAGATTCATGCTTTGAAGCCTATAATTTATGCTAAGGTAAAGGGAAGTTTTGGAAGATTATCCAGAGATAGTTCTCAGAGAAAGGAATTGAATAAAGGTTCATATGATTTAGAATCAACCAAAAGTTATATGTAGATTTAATTTAGGTAGGGTTCAGATTGAAATAATATAGTTCATACTGTTGCCATTTATTCCCTGGCAGAGTTTTGGTAGTTTGTTCCAAAGGATATGCTAATTTGTATTATTTTAAAATAATTTTTATTGAGATTAGGCAATTACATAAATTTCATATATTTTACAGTATTGTGGAATAGTGATACTTAAAGTTACAAACACATTTTAACCTTCACAAGGCAAATTGTCATTATCATGGTCTATAAATTTTGTGAATTCTATGAGCTTTGACAATACAACTATTTCTTCCACATGAGGTGATATATACATTTCTTTCCTTTTGCTTAGTGTAAGCTGTTCCCTCTTTGCCTCTCATTCCCTCCCTCCCATTGCTGCTCTTGAGTTGTTTAGTTCATTTTTCTCAATGTCCAGTGCAGCTGATGCTCCTCCCCCCCCACCCCCCCCTTGTATGTTTTCCTATTCTCCTCTGATTCTGTGTCTTCCTCCTGCTAATTTGAATTTTACAGTGGTAATTCTAAGTGGATTCCTAAGAGGAAAAAAATTTTAAAGTCATTAACTTTTTAAAATATATAATAAGAGCAATGTATTTAACCAGTTTTAACAGTTCTAAGACCATCAATCATTGATAATTATGTTATAATGTCCTGTGAAATAGTCCTCCTAATTTTCCTGTTGTATAGTAACATGGAAAAAATGACTTCTACTATATTGTAAATGAAATGCAATTACTTATCCTTCCTTTTCTATTGTACTTGTCAAACATTTCTAATAGGATGCTCTCTGGGTTATCTTTTAAAATGAAGATGTTTAACCACAGTTTTATTAATATATGGATTGTGTGTGCATTTTTATTATGATTTTTCTTTAACTTTGTTTTTAACATATAATACCACTTATTGGAAAGATTCCCTACCTGAGCATTTTTCTGAAGGAAAGAAAGAAAAGAAGAAAGAAAAAGAGAAAAAGGAAGGAAGGAGGGAGGGAAGGAAGGAAGGGAAGGAAAGAAATAAAAACAGGCAGATTTATTGCTCTTGAGTTTGAAATAAAAAATCCATTACAAGATAAATAGATTTTTTTCCTTTTATGGTCTTAACAGGACTTGGATTTTTTAATGTTTTGTTTCAGAATTTGAATTTTAGTTTGTTGAGAAACAAAAAATTAGTAATCCTAATTGTAATAGTGTATAGTAGCTGCTGCATTAATAATAGGAAAAACATTCTTGTATTTGGTAGGTAAGACAGAAGTTATAAGAGCTAGAGGCATGATTTAAATGATAGAGTCTTAGCTAGCAATTATAAGGCCCTGAGTTCAAATGCTAGTACTGCCAAAGGAAGATAGGAGCTTAGAAAGCCACAGGATCTTATTAATGCTAAGCTAGGATTCAAAACTAGGCTTGACAACCCATTGCTATTTCCATAGTGCTTTCCTCTGGTATTTTGAGCAAAGGACTATGAAATACTTTACTGATGATGAAGTGTCACATAGGCAAAGACGAAGTATTACTTCAGCTTTTCTACTAATATGGGAAATATGAAAATGAGCACTGTGCCTTGGCCAGAGACAGGGAAAGTATGACAAAGCAAAGTTCAAGATATGCATCCATTGAGGGCAATTTGTGGTTAAGTTGGGATTTTTTTTTTTTTTTTTTGTCCATTGTGGGGTTTGAACTCTGGGCCTGGGCGCTGTCCCTCAGCTCTTCAGCTCAAGGCTAAGCGCTCTACCACTTGAGCTACAGTGCCACATTCTGTTTTCTGGTGGTTTATTGGGAAAAAGAGTCTCATGGACTTTCCTGCCTGGGCTGGCTTTGAACCCCGATGCTCAGATCTCAGCCTCCTGAGTAGCTAGGATTACAGGCATGAGTCATTGGCGCCCAGCTTAAATTGGGATTTTTACAGTCATAATTCACTGCCTTTATTTTTCTGCCAAACTGTGAAAACTGGGCATCAGGACATGACAAGGTATTAGTCTAATTTTCTACAGCTATTTGTCTTTTATGCCTAAGATTGATTTGTTTTTCAGTCAGACAAGAACTCAGTTAATTTTAAGTAAAGTAAAAACATAGGAAGCATATTCATTCTTTCTTGGAACTTAAGATTTAGGCATATAAAAATAGGAAGGATGTACCAGTGATGGACCTTTTTTTTTTTTGGCCGATCATGGAGCTTAAACTCTGGGCCTGGGTGCTGTCCCTCAGCTCTTCAGCTCAAGGCTAGCGCTCTATCATCCCTTGAGCCACAGCACCCACTTCTGGCTTTTTCTGCTTATGTGGTGCTGAGGAATCAAACCCAGGGCCTCATGCATGTGAGGCAAGCACTCTACCACTGAGCCACCTTCCCAGCCCTAATGATGGACTTTTAAACTGAGAAATAAGGCTTCTAGATAAATACATATAGTTTGTGCAGAGTTTAGTGTTTGTGCTAAGTTCATTTCCTTTTCCCTGAGGCTTTGTTGTTGTTGTTGCTCAAAGCTAGCACTCAAGTAGTTCTTGAGTCACAGCTTCATTTCTGACTTTTTGGTGCTTAATTGGAGAAAAGACTAGCTTTTTTTTTTTTTTTTGCCCTCATAATAATCCTTCTGCTTCATCTTCCCAAATACTGAGAATCTGACAGATATGTGCCAGCATACCTGACTTCTTTTTCCCCTTTCTTTTTTTTTTCCTTTTCTTTTTTTTTTCAATAAGGAAAGAGGCAGAAAAACTTCAGAATTGATAGAGTAGGTTAAGGAATAGAGCCTAACCATGAGAATGTGAAGTTAAGATTCAAGGAGTAGAAGAGTAAACTGAACAAAAAAATAGGAGTTGACAGGGGGTAACATTGTAATGGGCAAGAAGAAAGTAATGCTTAAGGCTGATAAAGGATATTGATATGCCATTATTCTTAGAGATAATTTTAAACTCATTTGTATAAAAGTACTATTTCTATTTGAAAATGAAAATGCCTTCATGTATGGTGGCTGAATTATTTTTTGTACCATTAAATGTTGCTTGAAGAGAGCTAGATTTATTGCAGATTTTCTCTTTCTCTAGGGTTTGGATTCGGGATTTGTTCCTAGTGTTCAAGACTTTGATAAGAAACTTACAGAGGCTGATGCTTACCTACAGATATTGATAGAACAATTAAAGGTATGTTTTAGTTTATATATTGAATTGACACAATGTAGGAAACATTGAACCTGATTTGAGTTTTGTTAATTGATGTGGTTCTTCACAAGTTTTTAAAACTGGTTTAAAACTGGTTTTTTAAAATCAGTTTTTTTTAACACTGATTTACTCAAGGAGCTTTATGTATATTGGTAAATAACATATTTACCTAAATTTTGGTCACTGAGGCAAAGGTAACTATCTAGATATAAATAGATTAGATTTATAGTCACAAATATGAAACTGGTAATTTTTAGTAGCTTTGACTACTAAAGTCTTTTTGTCTTAAATTCTATTTTTGGAGAACAGTATACTGGAAGTACCCTGTCTACTTTCTTTAGCACTGCGAAAATAAGTTGTCTCCTTCAGTTTCTGCTTTAAAAAGACTTAAATGCAAGGTCCTGGAGAGAGGAAGGCATGTTGACAAACTTGAAAGACAAAGCAGAAAAGGCTTGAATCTAATGGTTATTCTAAGTTTTTAAAACTCATGTGATTTCATTGCTCAAAGTGATTGTGTTTATAGTCATCCACAGAGTAAATATAACTTGATATAGTACCCTGAAAAAATATACTATTTTAAAAATTCATATGCATATAAAAATACGATTAAGAACTGCTTGATTTTTTTTCTGTTTAGTAAATAACACAGCAATACACTAGCTTGATACTATAACCATTTCTTTAAATCCTGTAGCTTTTTGATGACAAGCTTCAAAACTGTAAAGATGATGAACAAAGAAAGGTAACTTCTATAATCATGTTTGTTTTTTACTTTAAAATTTCAAATCTAATAGCCTTTTTGGGAAATAACAGAAGTATGTCAGTAGTTTTACTAGTAAAATAGCATTGTTGAAGCCAACATGATAGTATGATAGTACACTTCTATAATCCCAGCATTGGGCATGAGTTAGGATTGTGAGTTTGATTCCAGCCTGGGCTAAATAGCAAGAACTATGTGGGGGTGAGGGGGAAAAACCTTCCCCAAATATTATTATTGATCTGTTATAATAGTAATGTTATGTATACTTTTCTGGTGCATTTCTCATATAATGTTATACTTAAAATAATATGCAAAATTTTATTACAGTTATTTATAAGTGCCACATATGTTAGAGTAAGTTCTTTTCCATTCCACATATAATGTTTTAAGTACAAATTTATTTTTATTAAATTTCATGTGATCACTTCAGGTATTGGTGAACCAATAGAAAATAATTTGAAGGAAAAAAAAGTAGTAACATGGAAGAAAACCAGTGGTGCTTTAGTTATAGTTCTCCTACTGATTTCCCTCTTTGGATTTCTTTTTTTCTTTTTTTGTGGCCATTTCCAGAGATTGAACTCAGGGCCTCATGCTCTCTGAGATTTTCATTCATGTTGCCATACTTCCTGTTCCCTTTCTTGAATTTCTGGTGTCTGTTTTGTAGTTTGCATATTATTTTCATTTTCTGATGAACCTTTACCCTCTTCTTGGCCAAATTTCCTGTTGCAGCATTTTTTTTCCATAATCTGTTGTCTATAGTCTTACATGTGGCTCTTTTATGTATACCAATAGTAGAAATACATGTTCTAACTTAACCTCTGTTCTTAGTTTAGGAATTCAGTCTCAGATCATTTTAAAAACATTCCAAGAAAGGTTAAGGTGATTCTGAAAAAAAAAAAAAGATTAAAATCACATAATTGGCTGGGTACAGTAGCTCAAACTTTAATCCTAGCAACCTGGGAGGCCAAGGTCTGAAGATTGTGTTTCTAGGCCAGCCCAGGCATAAAAAAGTTTGCCAGATTCCATCTCAATCATGCCTAGTAACCCAACAGTAAGGGAAGCACATGGCTATCAACAGTGATACTTGCCTGTCCTCTCTAATAACACAAGAAGCCCAGGCTGCCCTAAGCATGAAATGAGATTTACCTAGGAAAGTTTGTGGATGCGGCTCAACATAGTAGAGTGCCTGCTTAACGAGTGCAGCTCCTGAGTTGAATCCTCAGTACTGCTAAAATATAAAATCACATAATGAAGTCTTTAGAAAACAAAAAGCCCATTTTCAGGAAAGGATTCATGTTTATATTCTTAGAAATTTTCAGTTGTATTCATTTTTAAGAGCTTTTAATTTATAAAATTTTTGGAGGTTTTTTTTTCCCCCAGCACTTGATTTATATTAAAAACACAACAAAATATACTTTCTCCCCAACTTACACTTAGGGATAAGTACATTCTGGTCAAATTCTTCTCTTTTGTGTATGGGCCAGTACTGGTCTCCTGCTTAGCTTTTTCACTTGAGTGGTTTTCTGCCACTTGAGCCACACTCTTACTTCCAGCTTTTTGCTGGTTAATTAGAGCTAAATCTTTCTGATTTGTCTGTCCTGGCTGGCTTCAAATCTCAGATTTTGGCCTCCTGAGAAGCTAGCATTATAAGCATGAGCCACCAGCCCCCAGCTGGTAAAATTCTTTAAATGACTAATTACTTTAAAACAATGACTATTTATTTGTGCTTCTCATTATTTCTGTTCAAACTTATTTTTCTCACAGAAAATTGAAACTCTCAAAGAGACAACAAATGTAAGTCATGTACTTGATAAGCTGTTGTAAAATGTATTTTAAACTACTACTGATAAGAACAGCTGAGGCTTTAACTTTTTATGGATTTTTATAGAGGTGTTTAAGAATTATATCAGTCAAAAGAAATAAACTAATAACCCCTGTAGTTGAAATTACCTTCTTATACCATTTTAACTATTTCTGTCTTGTTTGTGAGATTCTTGGATAAAAGATATTCTGCATATACAAATAAATGCAGGTTAAGTGTCCCTTATCTGAAATGTTTGTGACCAGAAGTATTTCTAATTTTGAATATTTTTGGATTTTGTTATATTTGCGCACATGTAATAGGAGATGGGACCATAATCCAGAAGATAAGACCGAGTCTAAACTTTCAGTTGTGTTTTGTATATGCTTTAACCACATAGCCTGAAGATAGTTTTATATCTCACTTTCTATGTATCTGTGTTTTGACTCCACCCTTCCTGTAAGATACAGAGTTTTTCACTTGTTGCACCGAGTCAGCTGCAGATTTTGGATTTTGGAGTTTTTAGACTAGATTGTTTATTCTATAAAATATACACTGATTCAGATTTCTTCATTTACTGGCCTTCTGACAGTATTTAAGACTACCAGTGAGATTGTATCTTGAAAAAGCCATTTTAAAAATAGGTGTGATAGTATCTCAGGTTTCTTAATATTTTGACAGAATCTTTTGCTCTCTACACTTTCATGAATGCCTTGGAATTGACATTGGGATTGCTACTATTAATCTAAGAATTTGAAAGTTAATCATGACATCTCTTTCTTTTTGTGGTGCTAAAATTTATGACTCAGTGTAAACCATATTCTGTCATTCCTTAGTAGATCATAAAATTGCCAATGAATAACTTCATTTGATACCAGCAGCATATTAGAAGTCATGGATATCCAGAAGAGTATTGGTGTAGTGAGAGTTCCCCTTGTACATTTGAACTGATCTTTAATCTTTAACATTTAATTTTAAACTTTAACATCACTGTAAACATTCTATTTACAAGATCCTAAAACCAGTGTTTTGTTTTCATAGAGCATGGTAGAATCAATTAAACACTGCATTGTGTTGCTGCAGATTGCTAAAGTAAGTAAATTTTACTTGTGATTACCTTGATGTAAAATTCAAAAATTATAATGACACAAAACTCAGTTCTGAAACCTACTACCTTCCCACAATACGCTGAACTGTGTGTTTCCTGATACTATTAAACAACTATTGTGTTTGGTGTTACCTCACCTACGTGTGCCTGTTTTCTGTTAACAGTTTCTGTTGGTAGTTAGCATGGAAGGAGGAAAGGAAGGAAGGAAGGAAAAGGAAGGATATTTGAATGACTCACCCCTTCCCATCATTTAACCATTATTGCAGCTTGGAACAGGGCTATCTTTTGTAAAATCCTTCATAATTTTTTTTTCCTTAGGAAATAAAGGAATTATGTTTCAAGATAACTACTTTTCCTACTCATAATAAAGAGTGTAATATATTTAAAATTATTTTTTGTGCAGCATTTTCGGTACTGAACAGCTTTTTTGCTGGTCTTTATTCTGGAACAAAATATATATATTTGAACTACTGTGAGTTAAAATTTTCATATGTATTGTCTCCTTTTTTGAAAAATTTTGGCATACTCAAATACATTGCCTGAAACTTGCAGGCACTTTTTAAAAAGTTCTCCCACCCAATCAGTTCTGCCTGACTACATATCTCTGTCTCTTAGGTAATGGCTAGAGGGGTATGGTAGACAGCTCTGCATCTAGGCTTGAGAGTTTGCATGATTACAATTAGTAGCCTACTCTACTCAATTGCATATTTGCCTAATTATAAGGAATTTTTCCCCAGCATTGTTAGTGTCATAATAGCAATGTATAATCCATTTGTATTTTTATTATGAGGATATTCAGCTGTCATCTTCTTTTGGAGCTAGACTAAGTCTACTGACAGTGTCAGAATTCAGGGCTTGTGTTTACCTTATAGATAGTCCTGACCTCTGTACCTCATTTCCTATATCTGTGTCTAACTTTTGTGGATTAGAATATATTCTACAGCTAAGAAGTGGCACTGGTGGCTGGCTGGGAAGGTGGCTCAGTGGTAGAGCGCTTGCCTTGCATGCATGAGGCCCTGGGTTCGATTCCTCAGCACCACATAAGCAAAAAAAAGACAAAAGCCGGAAGTGGCGCTGTGGCTCAAGTGGTAGAGCGCTAGCCTTGAGCTGAAGAGCTGAGGGACAGCGCCCAGGCCCAGAGTTCAGGCCCCACAACTGGACCCCCCCCGCAAAAAAAAAAAGAAGTGGCACTGGTGGCTCATGCCTGTAATCCTAGGCATTTGTGAGGCTGAGATATGAAGAATCAGGGTTCTAGGCCAGTCCTGGCCAAAAAGACCTCAAAAGTCTGACTCAAATTAACTAGCAAAAAGCTGGACTGGAAGCATGGCTTAAGTGGTAGAGCATCAGCAGAATAAGCTTGTGTCAAAGCCCAGTATCATTAAAAAACACACATACACAAAGAAGAGAAAATAGGCTTGAGGTCATAAAAGGATTAAAGTTTGGGTTTTTTTGTTGTTGTTGTTTGTTTGTTTTGCTTCTCCTTTGCTTGGTTAAATAGAGGACATCTACAGTTTTGAGAGTCTGTATAAGCTAATCAGTAAACTACACTCTGCCTGATGGGGTAGATATTTAGGGCCATTTATAATACTTTCTCTGAATGATGGAGGAAATTAAAGAGTATGATCTCTAAAAGTCATTCAGGTCTGTAGATAGCTGTATAATAGGGCCCAGCCTACTTCAGTAACTCATTTTAGTCTTTAAGAATATTTTTGGGGCGGGGAATGTGGCATAATGGTAGAATGCTTGCCTCATATGCATGAATGAAGCCCTGGGTTTAATTCCTCAGTACCACATAAACAGAAAAAGATGGAAGAGGCGCTGTGTCTCAAATGGTAGAGTGCTAGCCTTGAACAAAAGAAGCTCAGGGACAGTGCCCAGGCCCTAAGTTCAAGCCTCAGAATTGGCAAAAAAAAAAAAAAAAAAAAATATATATATATATATATATGTATATGTTTGATGTTCTATTTTTTAAATATGTTACAGTTCAAATTACTAAAGCTTTTTTCTAGAATTTTCTATAGTTTAATTATGTACATGCTAACCTGTCTGTTCTAGTCCAGTTGGAACTAAAAGGTCCTTTGGAATGAATAAAAAAGTGGAGTTTGCTCATTTTAGTTGTTTTATGTTAAGACTTTATATGTACAGATTATGTTTACACTATATATGCACTCTGAATCTTTGAAGTTAATTTAAATGTAAATCATACCATATCACCTGGCTGCTCAAATTCCTCCTAATACTTTCTTCTCTTATTTGGAACAAAGTCTGAACTACTCAACACAGTTTCTATCATTTGAACTATCACCATTCTCCTTACCTTGTTTGATCACACCATTCAATAACATTGACCTGTTTTCTTTTTCTCAAGCAAGCCAAACTTTTTCTGCTTTAGGATTTTTATTTGTACTTTCTTGCACTTCTCACAGATTTCTACCAAGCTTACTTCTTTCTTCACTTTATTCAAGTTATTGCCTTAGGAGATACCTAAGGTGGTTCTTGCCTATAATCCTAGCTTCTCAGAAAGCTGAGATCTGAGGACCAGAATCCTCAAGAAAGTCTGTAAGACTCATCTCCAGTTAACAACCATAACAGTAAAAGAAAAGCTAGAAATGAATATGTGGCTCAAGTAGTAGAGCGTCAGCTTTGAGTGAAAAAACCAAGTGAGTATGAAGCCTGAGTTCAAGACCTAGTACTGGTTCCAAAAAACACAAACAAAAAACCCCCAGCAGTTTCTAACTACTCTTATCTAAAAAAATAAAATAAAAAATAAATTTCACACTAGTTTCTTTTACATTATGCCCTTATGCCAATTACTAGCCAAATTTATAAAACATCTTAATTTTACTGCTTATATGGTATGCTCAGATACTGAAACAAAATGCCATAGACTGGATGTCTTAACTAACACATATTTATTTTCTCATAATTTTAGAGGATGAAAATCTATTCAGAGTACTGGCCCTTTCAGTTTCAAGTGAGAGTTTTCTTTCCTGACCCACTTTCTACTTGTGTCTTAACATAGCCTTTCCTTTGTGTATACGTGTGTGTGTGCACGTGCATGTGTGCGCACGCATGTGAGAGAGAAAGAGAGAGAGAGAAGCTAAAAAAGTTCTCTGGTTTTCCTTTTTCTAAAGACACTGATCCTGTTGAATCAGAACCCCTGCCTTTATTACCTCCTCCAATTGTAATAAAGCCACTTTGGTAGTTAAACCTCAGCATAAGAATTTTGGGGAAAACAAAACAAAACAAAAAAATAACACTACTGTGTCCTCATTACCTACATCAGCTTTCTCCCACATAGTAAGTATCTGATAAATAATTGAATTGTTAAATGATTTTTCTAATGTATAACTTTTAGAAGTTTTATTAATATTTTTCACTGTCTTTTAAATTTTGCTGTGATTATCTTTTTATAAATTAATCTTTATGCCAGTTTAATCAAGTAGCTAAGCTGTGGTAAAAACATAATTTTTTTAAGTAATAGAGGCAGAGATGGAGGGATGGCTAAGTGGTAGAGCACGTGACTACCTTTAGATCAAACCTCACACAAAAAGAGGGCAGGGGTAAGAGGTGGGAGGGAGGCAGCATTGCATAATCTGAAAGAACATGTATTCTAGAACCAGACCTTTTTTTGGTGGTATCTGTATTTGAACTCCCGACCTTGTGATTGTTCAACTTGCTTACTCAGCTGACACTCTACCACTTGCCATACTTCCAGCTCTGCTTTTTTTTGCTGGTTATTTTGGAGATAGAGTCTTGCAAACTTTCTGCCTGGACTGGCTTCAAACTGCAATTCTCTGGATCTCAGCCTTCTGAAAAGTTAAGATTACAGGTCTGAGACACCAGCATCTGGCTAGGTTTTTTCATTATTGTTATTTGGGTGATTTTTGATGTTGTTGTTGTTGTTTTGGTTCATTTGTCTGTGTTTTCATGTTGATGATTTAGCCCAGGGCCTTGCACTTTCTAGCAAGCAAGCATTCTACCTCTTGGTCCATGCTTTCAGCCCCAGACTGGGATTGAATTCCACCTTTGAGCAAGTCTGTTTATCATCTGTGCTTTTATATTGTATATAAATAAGGATAATCAGTGCCTGTCTTTTATCGAAATGTTGTGAGATGTAAATTAACTATTTGTAATGCCTTTAGTACCAAGCATGTAATAAGCCCTGAGTAACTGTTTATTCAATTTAAAATTGCAAGGATATAAAGTTTAAAGTGAAATCACATGTTGAGAAAAAGGAAGAAAGAACTTCTACCTAGTACAGGTGGAAATATAAATTGTAATATCCACTTTGGAGGACTTATTGACAGGTTAATAAAATTAGTTCCTTTGTAGGAAATACTGCTTTTTAAGAAGACCCCAAAGTAGGATACAGGAAGTTAGCTAATTTGGTATTGTGACAGATTCAAGCCTTAGCATATACATAATTGTTAATACTTTTCTCCAGGCCTGTGAGTTATCTGTTCACTTTCTCTCTTTTTGGTGGAATACTGGAATTTGAATTCACAACTGGGAGGTCTACCACTTAAACCATGCCCCTAGCACGGTTTTCAGATAGTCTCAAGCTATTGCTCATTTAACTTCAGACTTACAGATCTTCCTACTTACCTTCTCCTTTGTACCTGAGATTACAGGCATGTACCTTATGCCAGCTTGTTTGTTGAGATCAGGATCTTGCTAACTTTTTATCTTTAAACTGATATCCTCCTAATGTCTGACTTCTGAGAAATTATAAGCATGTACCATCATTCTCAGCCTCTTGAATTACAGGCATGTACCATCATTCCCAGCCTCTTTTCTCCTTCCTTCCTTCCTTCCTTTCTTCCTTCCTTCCTTCCTTCCTTCCTGCGTGTACAGGCATGTACCATCATTCCCAGCCTCTTTTCTCCTTCCTTCCTTCCTTCCTGCGTGCGTGCGTGCGTGTGTGTGTGTGTGTGTGTGTGTGTGCGCGCGCGCCTGAACTCAAGGCCTGAGTGTTTTCCTT